AAACTATAGGGCTGGGGAGCTGTGAATGATTCAAGGAACAGTGGGAGTGAATGCAAACAAGACATTTATATATACTTCAATTGAAGCTTGCAACTCCCTACGACCTCACATGAGTAGGGATAGTAGGTGATTTCTTTATAAATTATGACCAATAGAATTTGTAAGGTTATTCAATAGCCCCAGTCACAAGAAACACAGATCGCTGTACAGAATTAAGAAATTGGACTCATGAGACGAGTTACCGGTTTTTTGGTGACGAAATGTTGACGGATTTTTGGGAATCCTGAACTATGGGAAGGTATAGCAGTAACCCAGCTAACAAAGTTATGTTCATTAAATGTTATGGGAATGTTTCTCTTAGGTTAGCAAAACATTATTCAGTAACGTTCTAATAACTTGTTTTAGGAAAGTTTTCCTGACATTCTGAGAACGTTTTTACAAACATTCACATAACATTGATCAACCTCCGAAAATGACATATTAACTGCAGCAACACTACGTATGCGCTGCAGTCTTACCTTAATGTCCCCAGTACGGCAGTACCATCACACACACATACACACACACACACACAAACAAGTACAAACAGTATAACTATCCCTATCACTAACCTTAACACAAATTATAAAGCGACTCGAGTCGTATATGATAGTGTCTAAACACAGATAAATTAATCTATGGTGTATAAAACCTTTGGCTTTCAATAACAAACTGAACTGAACTGTATCTGAACTGACAATCAATCCCAAACAACTAGTGTAGGCTAGCTAATTAATTAATTAATTAATTACTTAGGCTGGAGATTAATTAATAGCTAGTGAACGACATTATTTTGCGGGAAAGCGATGCATGCGCAAATGGACTACCGTACCCGTAGCCTCGAGACATTAAGATACGGCTACCGTCCCCGTAGCCACTGCGAACAAAAATACATTTGATACCTGTGCTAAAGTTTGCAACATCACAAAAACGGCAGTTAGGAGTTTCGAACCCATCCGAGGACGGTTAACGTTTTCCGAACATTCCAAGAACATAACTCTCTCACCAAGTAAAACCAATAAATGCATAACGATATGGGAATGTTCTTAGAATATTTTTGGCTAATGTAACCAAACTAGAACCTCCAGCGAATGTTACAAGAATGTTCCGTGTTTGCTGGGAAAATGGGACATTTTTGCAGCATTTCTACTCATTTCTGTGACTTAATTAGTTATATATTAGACATTTCTTAAGCAATTACCCTGGTATTTCATATCAGGTCAGTTCCCAGAAAAGGTAAGTGATGCTGTAGATGGCCGGCGGTAATTTGCTGTGTTCTACAACTGTGTCTGACTTAGGTAAGTTTGAATTGAATCAATGCACTGCATTATACCTACAGTGCATACAGGAAGTTTCAGCTAGTAGGCAATAGAATAAACAATTAATGGACGCTGCACTCTAGTAGCAGCTGGACTGTTTTGGCATTGTGGCAATGGCTAGAAATCGATGGTCACAGTATATCTTGTAACCGTGCCGTTTCATTACACAACACATCATTGCCATTAAAGTCTAAATAAAAGGGTAACTGGACGGGTATGAAACGACATAATTTGGTTCACTCGGCACTGAACTGTACTATTCCTAGCCTTTAAAAGAAGCCGAAGATCGTTTTTCTAGGTGCTTGGATATAGCGGGACGAGTTAATCATAGATGACTAGTTAGAAAAGAAGTCTGTGCGATTTTCACGGTAGTTTGCCGGTGTCATGTTTTGAACATAAACATTGTTTCAAACCAGCCATCAGATGTCCCAAGTCTCCCGGTATGACACGCTGCTCTCGGTGCCCCGGAATGAGGTCAGAAGTTCCGGTTTGTAACATTTTTCAGCCATATGAAAATTTACATCAGTAAATCAGTAAATTACTAAATTTGCCGTTCTTGTTGATGTACTTTGATTCCAGCGAACAATAAAAGGCGATGAAATGATAATTTTACATGTATACTTTATAAAAAATGGTGGTGTGCCGCGACAAACACATATCGCAGCCTGCCACAACTTTTTTCCTGTTTTTGCGCACTGCGATGTCTTATCCAATGCTGGCTCTCTTTCTTGAATTGCTGGCTCCCTTTCTTGGACTTTCCCAACTTGGGACCTCTGAGCCATTGTGAACTCAAAATAGTAAGAATACATTGTAACATAATTATTTGATATCTCCTGCTTATTATGAGCTATAATACTTATAGAAATGTAATAGTTATGATATTGTAAAAATCCTCCAAACTTCAAATGTCCTGTTTTCGTGATTTTATGGACTTTTTGCTCACGTGACTACAATGGCTAACATGAGATGTGCAGCCACATATATTACTTTGAAAGGGCAAGTGAACAAACATGTTCTAACTTATGGAAAACGTCAAGAAGATGCAACACAGTCACTTCATATTTCAGTAATCTGGTATAAATAAATAGATGAAATAGACGGTATATAGGGTAGGTAGGTATGGGTAGCATGGTTCGCACAGTTCTTGATAAGTCCTTGAATTTGAAGGTAGTCCTTGAAAAGTACTTGAATTTAGTAAATGTTGATTTTGTGCTTGAAAAGTGCTTGAATTTCATGAAAATGTCCTTGAATTTTTAGAAAGAATCCTTGCATGTAAGAAAAAGAAATTTTGTACCATCAATAATGTGCAAACCTCAATAAAAATTTCGTTAAATGAGCTTAAAAAGCTATAGGCACGATAGACAGTTAAATGATTATCACAAATTACAGTAAGTCAGTAAAAGCAGTCAGTAAATCAAGGTATGTTGTAGAAGTGACAGTGTTTAGAAGGGTTTAGTAATGTAATCCAGGTAAGTTTTAGAGGTGACATGCAGTGATTAAGAATGGGGTTATTAAATTAATCCAGGTATGTTTTGTTCTGTGTATGAATTTCAATAAAATGTCTGATAAAATGTCCTTGAATTTCCGATAAAATGTCATTGAAAAGTCCTTGGAAAAAATTTCAGTCCTGTATGAACCATGGGTAGGTAGGCACAGGTAGGGGAGGAACATTGTCTTTTGACTTCTTACATCTAACAACGTCACAGTTGTATGAACTACAATACAGTGGCATGATATATCGATGGATGCAATATGGATCGATATCAATGAAATGTTGCAACCTATATGCCCATTGCAATATGCACAAATCCACTCTGTTCTGCAGTATATATATGCTGTAACTATGACGTCATAATCGGAAACATGAGAACATCACATTGGTCTCCCAAGATGAATATGGCAAGTTCAAGCGCAAGTCACGATTCCAGGGGTTACAGCTAGACTGGTACCCACCTTGACTCTGCCAAGTATCCTTGGCTACAATGAACTCAGTTAGTGTAGCATGTCGAACTGTCGAGCAGGTAGCAGTCTAGCTTAGCCGCCGCAGCCGTGTCCACAAAAACTACGGGCAAATGCCATGAACATATAGGCTCGTTGTGCCATCTATCGCACGCCATATGTTCTAAATAAATGTCAGGGCATGAAACAGCAAAAATGGTAAATCTGTTTTCTACAGAAAAACGATGCGCGCCGAGCAGCAAACCAACAATTACGCCCATTTGTAAGAAATGTCTACTTACGTGCGTAGTGAAAAGGCTTGCGGAATCGCCAGAACGGCTCAATTGAGCAATTATCCACCAATCTTGGTATACTGTAAACCTGTGAAGATTTACTCCAATCGAATGCAGCGTATTTGACTTAGTGTGCCGCTACGCGGTGTTTTTCGCGCTTTGCGCGAGATCCGGGCTGCCAATTGTCTAGTATCCCCCAAATGATCTGGTCTCCCTTTTTTATACTAGATTTCAACATTCAAATTTTTTACACTGTAAAGTGGTAAATACGATTCCGAAGAGCAAAGAATGAAGGGATAACACTGGCAGGTAATTGACAAATGAATAACAAAGAACACTTGTAATTGGTACCAACAGGTTGTGTAACTGCGAGACTACGTAACTGCGAGAACTATGTATTATCCTCACTGAGACAATCATCACCGTTTTTGAGGGATAGCTGATAACTCAACAACCACTATCCTGATTTTCTTTACTAACGAGGATCGTATCAAGATATCGAGGGATAACAAGCATTCAAAATCAGGGGCCGGTTTCACGAAGCGTACTTAAGTATTGAATCGTGATTAAATCACTAATCATGATTAACTTCTCGTACTTAAATTAAAGTGACTGTTTCACGAAGCGTAATTAACTTTAATCATGATTAAGTTAATCACAATATTTAATTCTACTCAGGAGCATGATTAAATCCACTAATCATAATTAGTTACTAGTACTAGAACTTAGAAGTAGGTAGTACTAGTATATTAAGTACGCTGCAGATTTTACAATTGAAAATTTTACTTCAATTTTTTCCCAAGGAAATTTAAATTATCTAAGATTTGCTGTACTACTTCAATCATTATAGTTACAAATTAATTCCTTTTCATGTACCGAACTTGAAGATATTTTTGGCGTATTGGTCCGCCATATTGAATACCGTGTAATTTGTTTTAGACTGGTACTCGCTCCCACCTCGATTACTCGATTCCCATTGAGTAACTATAAGCCGAGAGGGGAGCGAGTACCAGTCTATTCATGTTGAAGTCGGCTAATTATGTGATTAGTTAAATATGTACTTAAATCGTTTCGTGAAACAGATTTTTGAGTATGATTAACTAATCATGATTACGGGAAGTTAAGTATGATTAGAGATTTAATCATACTTAAGTTAAGTACGCTTCGTGAAACCGGCCCCTGGTATCCAACACAAAATTCTACTTTCACCGGGATATCGGGATACAGCTAATTTCGATCACAGAAGTAATATAGCATGGGATTTTCGTATGACCCCGCATTGTTACAAATAGAACAGGGCAGTTATAATTACCTGTTTGCATTTGACAGACCAACACATCCCAGATTCATGAGTTTAAACAGATGGGCAACCTTGTAGATGCTGTTCCCAGATATGATGGTGCATGTTGGCAGCAGGAGGTTGAAAGCGTACATGTCTCTGATGAGTGGCTGTGAGCACCATCTTCCTCGAACAAGGGGCTGCATCAGCGCTGCACTTCCAACTGACAAGAAGCGCTGTCCACGGAAGTTTGTACGAGAACACCATCTCTTCTGTGCAAACCACATATTGTACCATATGCTTTCCTGGCAGAGCCATGGTACTAAAAAGAGCAGGATAAATTGTGGAGCAGTGATGTATTATGTGGCAAGACAATGAATATAAAATTGTAGTGTCACGGCATGAGTACGTGTGACATAAGAACACCAGAAGTTGTGGCATTTGTTTAAGCATCATTTACAGAGAAGAAGATGTTAGCCACTAAGGAAACATGTGTTGATTACCTGATGACAAATAGGACAGGTTCGATAAATGTTATTGCTTTGTCCGCATCCAACATTACGTCTGTGTCTTTGTAAACGTTTCCTTGGAACATTTGCGCCTTGCTGGTCGCAGGTGACTGTTGTTCTTCCTCTTCTTCATATAGACCTGGGCCTAGATCCATTTCCTCTTCAGCATTTGCAGTTGCATCAAATGCGAATACTTCCTCGTCAACCGTCATTTGAGACAGGATATCGCTGGGTGCAGCTTTGCAAGAACAATATAGTTGTCAAAAATAAGTTGCCAAACTAACCATATTTTTAAAGTAATGGTGTGATATTTTGGCAACGCAATACTTCTAATGCTGCCGATATTTGACTTATTGCTGATATTTTCCGATACCCAATATTCAAGTTTATATCGGCATGTATCGGACTTTTCTTTTTTTACAATGGCAAGCCCAAGAAAACTGAGAAAATATTTTTTGATAGAAATCACCACTTTACCCGACATATAACAATAATCCCCATCTGCATTCATCATAAAAAGAACTTCTCCAAAATGGACGTATAGTACATGAATATGCACACAAAGGTAGCGCAGGAGCTAGTTTGAGCAAAGATCCACGGCGTGGAGCACGGAGCTCAGTGAGCTCTAGTCTAGCTAGTGTTGTGCGCTGGGCCAGCGCTGTACTGTCGGTTATGCTATTGTAAAAGCCATGTTTTATAGCTAATCAGAGTGTCCTTATAACTTATATCATTACATGCAATGAAGTCAATAGCAAAACCCAGATGAGACGTGATACTAGAGAAGCGTTTCCGAAAGGAGGTGTTGATCCGAAGCGCTGAGCGCAGATCTTACACGCAGTTCTGCGGCAAAGAGCACGCAACCGCGGGAACGTCCTACGACGGTATGCAGCGCTGGCAGCTATGGATCCGTGCGCCGAATGCATAGGTCGGCGCACGGATCCATAGCTGCCAGCGAGCAGTCGATAATTTTAACGGGAATACAATGAAATAGCTCAGCTGCATTGAGCTGCTGTTGTTTGCAAGTTCAATGAAAATATCAATAAATGTGTCAACAGTTTCTACTTCTACACTGTGTTGTATAAGTTTGATTATGAATTGTATTTTATTATGCGTCAGCAGCTTCATGTAACGAGCGGCAGCTGCAGCGGATACATAAGCTGGGTTTTAAAATAATACATGCGGAAATAATACGCTTCTATTCATGTAAATAGAAATGTTGACCTATATACAAAGAATGAGGAGGTAATAATCACAAATATTGTCAATAGGTCAATAGCTCCTGATATTATCTGTGAATTGTGCGTGTTAAATGACATACTTATGTTACGCCATGACTTGTGGCCAGGCTAAAAAATCATTTTGTTGAGGAAACAGATTTTTGTGACTTCTGAACAATTGTTCCTAATGAACATTTTAAAGACACTGACGCACGCATTGAGCGACGCACACACACATACAAACACATACATGCACCCATACAAATGTCTGTGCCGGCCTGCGTGTGTACGTACGTGCGTCGGTGTGTGACTGCGTGCGTTGATACATGTATACGCACGTGTGTGCGTATTTGTCTGCTTCGTAGTACTACAGCTAGCTATGTGCTTGCGTGCTTGGCTGCCTGTATAAGTAGGTACAGGCGTGCGTACGTGCGTCCGTCTGTGCGTGCCTGCGTGCGGGCGTAATCATTAGAATGTGTGCGGACGCATGAGAGTATACAGCAAACTGCGATCAGAAAGCATATCCACACAAAGCAGCTAAACGTATGCACGCCTGCGCATGCCTGGACGCACGCGCATACGCACGCTCGCAGGCACGTGCACGCGGACGCTTGCATGTAGGCGTACACGCACGCCCGCACGCACCTGCACATGCACACATACATAGAAGATGCGCGCATAGTGATACGCGTGTATCTAGACGCTACACGTACACATAAAGACGTATGTATCCCGTGTACGCACACACAGGAAGGTACGCAATCGCGACGGGCACCGCATGCCGTTTTTCCCACGGTGACCATCAAGGTAACTGCGAGCAAGCGAGTTGCAAGTTTTTTTCCGCAAAGTCGCAAATCACAGAACAGCAATGAGGGCCGTGTCCCTCGACCGTAGGGGTAGACGAAGTTTTTGCTTTAGGCGGCACGCTGGCAGCATGTAATACATGCAAAAATGCTTATCCGCTTTGGCCCGCGCGCTGCGGGTGAAACAAGAAAAACGCCAACTTCAAATTATATTATGTAGTGTTCGCTGTACGTACGTACGGCGGACTTGTGTACATTTGAGGCGACGGCAGGCATTTTCTCTCGGGCTATCGCTCCCCTTATTGTTCGTACGAGACTGCTTATCGTAGCACGACAATTATACGATATACATTTAGCTACACATATATACAAGGAAATCTATTACAAAGGTTATAGGTAAGCATTGTACTACTGCAATGACGTCAATGAAACACTACAGCCCAGAGGTATTTAAAGAGATCGTAATGAAAAAGAAATGCTTGGATATGTTGAATTAAGATTCTATAGATATATACGTTAGAACAAGTAACTTTTAAAACCTATCTTGTTGAAGCGATCGACACTGTAGCACGCATTAAGCAGGTGACAATAAAACACACACGAGAGACATGGTTCAACTCGCAGATAAAGGAACTTATTCGGCAAAGGGAGGGACAGGAAACTATTACAATTCACGAGAAATAACGATGACGTTGACTTTAGGCATTTTTTAGTTACTTACAAATAAAACTCACAATGACATTAAGAGGGCAAAGGGCTATTTTTCTACAGAAAAGATTGAAAGGAACAACAACAATAATCGTAACAAACTATGGCACCCTCGAAAAAGTATGGCTATGAAGCCTGCCCCCCCCCCACTCCGAGGTTGGAAAGACCGCATGCGCGTTCCCAAAATCTCCGGTAAACGAGTATTTTTCGTGCGACAAAATCCGGCCCAAGAATTGTAAAAAAAAGGGGTGTATTTGACTTTTCACCCGGAGATTTCTTTAAAAATGGTGTGTTTTTCCTCTCTCTCTTTCATCTTGAATATCATAGAAAATCAAATTCCTGAAATTCCTGCTAGTTTTGAAAGCTGATTCAGGATTATTTCATTTTGAAAAATAAAAATATTGCTCCCTAGTTCCCCTCGATCACTGAACTCTACACTACGTAGTGCAGACTGGTACCCGGTTGACAGTTCCACACGCTACACTAACGTCACTATGTCAGTGAAGCGAAGGATACGTACCGGAGTGAAGGTGGCGAACGGGTACCAGTCTATACGTAGTGTTCCGGATTTAAGGGGTTCTCCAAGGCAGGAAAAACCCGCAAAAAGCCCGCGAAAGGGGGGTTCAGAAATTTTGGCAGTCCTGAGATAGGGGGTGCTTTCAAATGTAGGGAACGAGCATATGCGTACCCTAAATAACACTGAGTGGGGGGTCCGGGCTATGACGTTAAACAATAAAGCAAAGAATAACTGTGGTGAGGTAGCTTTAAAATTTTAAAAATTAGGGGTACTAGGAAATAATTTGAAAGTTTGCCCTGTAAGCAAAGAAGAGGTCTTAACTCTACTTCCTAACCTAGCTATTGTTAGCAGTAATAGGTATGAAAACTATATCATCAGTTAGCTATATTTACAAGAATGGTAGCATAATTGTCCTTTTATTTTAAGTTTATTCGTTATTGTTGGCATGGAAACAGATGGCAAAATCTGTTAATTAATTATATCGCAAAGTTATGTCACAAAGTTAATTATAATTATTAATATTATCGTTGAACTCAACAAATAATGTTATATTATATATTCATGATGGGTATTTACTACTTTGTTATTGCACTACTTATAATAATGTAGACTTTCATTTATAATAATTGAAGTTATAATAACTGACTTTCATCGATGAACATCCGAACACCGACCAAGTATTGTGCTTGAATATGAATTTCATTTCAGTTGCAGTTTGCTGTCTAATTTGAAATATTTCCTACTAATCTATTATATACTAGTATAATATGATTTCTCTAACTATGACTGTACTAATTAAAGTGCGTGTAAATAAAAGTTGAGTTGCTCAGTTTACTTTCAAATTTCATACATTACTATCTTAGTAGTTTCTAAGATAGATTATCTGTTTATAATGGATTATAGAACAAGTAAATAGTATAACTATAGCTGTCATAATAAGGTTTGTGATGCTATAGCAATGAATACTGGTTATAATTTGCTGTGTTCTACAACTCTGTCGGACTAAGGTAAGTTAGCATTGAATGAATGCACTGCATTAGCTACAGTACATACAGGAAGTTTCAGCTAGTAGACAATAGAATAAACAATGTACGCTGCACTCGAGAAGCAGCTCCACTGTTTTGGCATTTTACCAATGGCTAGAAATCGGTGGTGGCAGTATATTTTGTAACCGTGCCGTTTCATGACACAAGACATCATTGTCATTCAAGTCTAAATAAAAGGGTAACTGCACGGGTATTAAACGACATAATTTGGTTCACTCGGCACTTAACTCTACTATTTCTAGCCTATAGAAGAAGCCGAACATTGTTTTTCTAGGTGCTTCCTATGCATTCGGCGCACGGATCCATAGCTGCCAGCGCTGCATACCGTCGTAGGACGTTCCCGCGGTCGCGTGCGCCTTGCCGCAGAACTGCGTGCAAGATCTGCGCTCAGCGCTTCGGATCAACACCTCCTTTCGGCAACACTTCTCTAGTATCCCGTCTCATCTGGATTTAAAATACTTGGTATCCCAGATGGATACCATAATAACAATCTAATTTCAACCCCTATACTTACGCCATGTGTTGATTTTGCTCAGTCAGATTATAATTTATTCAGAAAAAAGGAACTTCACATTACAGTATATGACGTGCAATGTCCTGTGGTAATATGTATGCGTACATGTGTAGCTACAGGCATTCATATACATACATATCTTGCCTGTTTCCAGAGTGCAGAGGATGCATGTGCATCCGGCTGTGCGTGAGTTCTGGGAGAGTATGCAAACAGACATGCTACGCTCATATGGCACCAACCCTGTTGTCCTCGCAGGGGATGGGAGGAATGACTTCCCACGGCACTGCGCAAAATTCCTCACATACTCAATGGCATGTGCGGACTCACATGCCATCCTGGACGTAGAAATTGTGGATGTGAGGGAGGCAGATCTGCGAAGCCCTAACATGGAAATCATTGGAATGAAAAGGGCGTTAGATTTCCTGAAGGAGAAGCTACGCATAAGTGAGGTCGTCACGGATCACCACCCGCAGATAACGGCTTATTTGCGTAAGTCCCTTTCGTTGGCATGAAAACCGATTGTAAAGTTATTTAAAAAATGCAATCATTGCCGCCTACATATAGTACATTGTTTTGTCTTTATAGCACACAGACCTAATACATTTCTGATAGTAAATAAGAAATTATGTAGAGGTGCGCGATATTACCGGTATTATCAGGATAGCGCTGTAGGTGGCCTGTACCGGTATTTTTAGCTATTTTTAGAACAAATAGATTGAATTAATTCACTTTCATTCTTTCCCTGCACAGCCTTTAGAAATGATCTATGTCGGCTTCTGGGGTCATTTCCAGTACTCAACAGTTCGTTATTGTTAATTTCAATATCAAAACGTGATATCTTTCAGCGTAAACCAATAATACTATTGTAGCCCTGCTATCTGATCGGCGATCTACTCTAACTCGTCGGCGGTCAGTGATCGTAGACAGTGATGTACAATACGGACAGGTTTTATTCAACACATAGGTCGCGACATACACCCGCACGTCTATACGCGTTCGCCACACCCAGACCTCTCCCCCGATCCTTCTCTCCCCTTTTCTCCGCATCTACTTATGCCATGCTGTCACGGCTTGGCGGAAACAATACAGGCTGGCCAGGCTAGCGTGCTTTATTGCTTTGTATAATTGCACCGCCTTGGTAAACGTGTTCGGCCATGTGACGATGAGTCATCAGCTGTTGCAACCCCTGTACTGCGTTGCATCATCTATCCTATGGCGCAGTAACCTATTTCTCGTCGCCACACTATACTTTTGTAATGTAGATTGTACCTAAAGAATTTTGCAGTACCAAACAGTAGTTTCCTCTGTCTCTTTATCGTTTCTTATGTTTAAATTATTTCATTCATTTATTTCATTATGTTTTATTTATTTCATTTTTTCGCTCTCAATTGTTTTGGCTCCTGCTGAAATGTCGCAATTCCTGCAAATAACGACATTTAAACTTAATCTCGATATGTATATTGCATTTGTTGATACGTTATCAAAGGGTATGAATTTAACAAATCCATTGCTGTTTTTCCAGGACGTAGTGAGCCACAGATCACGCACCAACTGGATGTCTGGCATGCATCGAAGAACCTGGCCAAAAAGATAACAGCTGTTGGTATCAATTGCACATATTCTTTCTACTCAATCATCCAGCTAGCTTTGCAGCTAGGTTGGTTATTGCATTTCTTCGGGTTAAACTGCATCTCATATTGAAAGTCGATGTCTGATTTGGTTCTGAGCTTTGCTGAGAGACAACCGTAAATATTCTTTGCCGTTCTGTGCATGTACAATTGAGTATTCAAACAAAAGCTTATTTGATGATGTGACGGGCGCATGGAAGGGTGTCCGTGTAATACCGTAAAAGTACATAGTAACGAGCAGTTGTCGCCAACTACATGTATCCCCCGTGATCTAGTATGAATGGAATATCTCTGTAAGGACGTAGAAGGCAGGTAAAGTTAAATAAGTCACAAAGACAAAGGCTTGTTAGACAACTGGTCTGCCTCAGATGTGCAAGTATATGTAATACACACAGGGTATGGATGCAATGTGCGTTATGGTAAACCAAAGACGCCAATCGTTTTTGGTGTGGGCGGAGTCATCGTTGCCATGGTAAGAACATTTTTGTAGAAATATTGTAGAACCTGTAACTTGTGCTGTTTTTACCCGATTGTCATAGAATTTGGCACACAGGGCCGATAAAACATGTCCTATATATATATATATATTTCATGACAATCATAAATTTTAATATAAATGTTAATATAAATTTTAATACAAATATAAATTTCATGACAATCGGGTAAAAACTACAGGTTCTAGAATGTTTCGGGAAAAAATGTTGTTACCATGGCAACGATGACTCCGCCCACACCAAAAACGTTTGGTGTCTTCACTTTACGATAACGCACCTTCATGCGAAATTTGAAGATGATCGGAGAAGAACTGCAGCCGGTAGAGCGTTCACAAGGAAATCTCTGCCGCGGCGGCGGCGGCGCGACGATGCCAAACCCATAGTATCCCCACGAACTTCGTTCGGGGATACAATAAATACACACTAATAAGCTATTGTTCTAGTTTAGGGTACAGTCCCAGCTGTGTAAAGCATGACCCTGGACTAATGAGTAGTGAGGCAACCAATTATAGGTTGGTCGCGTGTAGCAGGTGCCGAAAAACAATAGATAGGCGTATCCCCAGTTTGGGTATAAAATCTGTGGTTTGGAGAGAGAGAGACAGACAGTCCGAGATACAGACAGAGATAGACAGAGTAAGATACAGAGATATTGCACATTTGCATACTAACGGACGACCCAGCATTAGCCTAGTAAGTTATGACGTGTCTCGCGTAAACCTAGTGTATGCGCATACCTTGTTATGGAATTATACATAGTATATATAAAGAGAATCACTGAATACGTATACCAGTGTTGTTGTGTTCTTTATAATATTATTCCAATAGACGTTAGCACAGGGTGTTCTATATACACTCACGCGTAACCACTTATACGATCACGGTAAGCGAGCAGCTTCCCTACACCAGCTCTATGTTCCAACATCCTTATTTTGTCCTTATTGTGGTAGGCTTAGACAACAATATGTTACAGACGGAATTTTTTCATTTTCTCACTAATCTTTACAATTTCTGTACTTCGTTGTTTGTTTAGTCATTACATTTTTAAGAAATAACACTCGTTGGGGTGTAACGCAGTGTTTTACCTTACGGTATAGTTGTATATTGTAATGTCGTACTCGTAGCCAAAAGACATAGACAAACAGCAGTCAAAAAATATATACCAAGACTGAAAGTTTAATTTCGATACTGATCCATTACAATGGTATGAAGCACAAGCGGTCGTGTCCGGTATTGAGGGAGCATTCCTCGAATCCGCTTGTGCAGCGGCTTTTATAGGTGCTACCACGCGCGGCGTACGCGCCGCGCGCGCTAACCACTGCGTCCGACTCATCTGCGTTCACCTGGCTTCACCACCTTCGCTCTGGACGGTGGCAGCTCCTAACGGGAAAGACCCGCTATTCTGTAGCACCACCGTCCAGGAGGTGGCGCCGTCTATTCGTGCAGACGCATCACGGGCGCTCAATATGGCCGCCACCTCGAGCGTTGATAGCTTTTCACGCTGCATTTAGCGCATCTAATCTGGCTAATCCCACCACCCGGTGACACTCCACGGTCGAGCGGTTCTAAAGTCGCATCGCGTTAGCCGCAGGGCATCACCGGGTCTCGCCTCCATGCCAGGGCTGCTGCCACTAATCACGACACGTACGCGCCGCTAATTGGGAGGGTGGAGTTAATCCCCAACCAGCCGGCGTGGGTGCCGTGACAGCGGCACTGCAGCGGCATGTCGCGGCGACGGCGGGCCGCCATCTTGACTGCTCAGCTCGCTCAGCTCGCAGGCCGTATTGATCGCCTGTGGTTGCTAGGGGCAACGCCGTAGAATCAATGCCTCCGTCGACCGCCTGTAGCGACGCGGCAAGCCCGGGTAGGGGTAGGGGTTGCGCGGCCTTGCCATGCCGTTGATGCGAGCCTGCGGCGGGGCGGGGAGTGCGCTTTCTCCCGTCCTTGCGGCGCAGACTTCGCATACGCAGGCGGCGCTGGCGCCTGTGGTGCAGACGTCGCATCTGCAGGCGGCGCTGGCGCCTGCGGCGTATATGCTGGCTGCCGTGGCGCAGACGGCGCAGGCGCAGGCGGAAGTGCTGAGGGCGCATATGGCACAGGCGCAGTCAGCGTAGGCGCAGGCGGTGTTGGCGCCCATCTGCAGCGGCGGCGACGGCGCTGATGGTTGCGGTCCACTGGGCTGTTGCCCGTCTTGGCCGTTGTTAGAGGGGTCCTGACAATGTTTAAGTGGCATGATAATACGTGGCCCAGTATCATAGCCGAAACAGTATATAAACTGACTGCACGGTTAGTGCCATAGCAGCGCTGGAGAAATTATAGAACGCGGTCGCGTATAAGCCGCGGAATAATCAGAGTTACAACCAGGCCGCTTTAAACAGCGTCTGACAAATATATGCGGTTAAATGAAGCGCGCGTTACTTATAGTTCGCTTTATGAACATGCTAATACGATTATCCTTAGTAACTAACAAGACTAGTGCTAGCGGTGCACTCGCTGCACGGGGCAGTAAAACTATCCTTAAGCCGGTATTAATTAAATAATGGGCCACTCATAAAGTGCTAGGGGGGAAAATGGAATGGCGATGCATATCGCTAATCTAATCACCCTAGCTTAATATCCGAGAGGAAGCTAAACAACGCGAGGTGGTGGTTTTGGACAGGGGACTGGTGTGGGCATAGAACGGCGCTCTGGGCGGGGCGGTAGAGAGATATGCCGGTGCAGTATAGGGGTGAGTATGGAATCCTTAGGGGTTGGGGAATTGGGGGTGGTGTCGGAGAGTATTTGTGTGATATTTGCGTTAGGCGGGGATCGTACCATTACGGAGGTGGGTGGTGGGGTATTGGCAAGGAGGGACGGGCCTGGGAAGCCGTGGTCATTGGACTGAAAGGTGGGTGTTATAGGGTCGAAGGAACCCATTCGTAGTTGAGGCTCAAGAATTGTTAGTGGCAAGCCGGAAAATAGCGAACGAGGTCGAGTTCTGGTCGTGGTTGGGGTGGGTGGGTAGCTTTCTATTCGTGTACGTCTGAGAGGAGGTGGGGAAAGGTCGGTTGGACTGGGTTGGGGCTGGCGCTCAGGGCTGTGAGGGCGGCGGCAGCGACAACAATAGCAATATGTGGCGATGACTATAACGGTAAGCAACAGTGATGTGAGAGTGATGTACATTACTGAATGATGCGTGGCACCCGCGATAACTAGGCTGCCTACCTCGGCATATGCTGAGTCGGTTGATGGCAGGCGCTTACTGTGCTTGACAGCAGTAACTAAATTAGCGTACGCGACATCAAGGTCAGTATGTGCATATGAACTAGGAGGTACTACTTCTGGTGGGATTAGGTCTTCCGAGTCAGCGGTGGACAGAGGTTTCGCATCATACATGTCGGACCATATGGTAGGGACTGTACGGTAAAACAGGCGGTCGAGTGGGGGTAGTTCGATGTGAACAACGACAGTAGTTTCGTGGTGGAAGTATAATGGCAGGGTAAAATGCTTGGATTCGGCTTTACATCCAGAATGGAGTGCGACTGTCTGTTGTTGTTGAACGAGAAATTCTTTAGTGGTTACTTGGGCCGTGGGGTGTGACTGGCACGAGATGGCCAAACGTAATGGATGAGGTGTAGAGATTAGCCAGCTACCGTCAACGAGGTAGGTGGCGCGCGGCGTTGGCCGTGCATAAAACGTAACGCGCCTCGTACATAATGTTGAAATAAGAGTGGTATCGTTTAGGAATAGCGCGACAGGGCACGTGATTGCTGTGGACATCGGGTAAATGGGAGATCTGACATTGCAGACTTGTTGATGCTTGCGTAAACATGAACGCACGGCAAACTCGTCGGGTTGTACGTAATAAGTATGGCCGAGTGAAACACCAATGGAATTTTGAGAAATTTGAAAATATGCTGCTGCAGTGGAGTTTCCGAGAAATACTGGCGGTGTCAAAATTTGTCGACAGTCCATGTCCACATCGAGTCCCATGTCCACAGTGACCACTATAGCCTCTATAAGGTTGTAGTAATAAAGCAAGTCAGCATGGGGGCTGTGTGGCATAGCAAATGTAGGGGGCAACGAGCTTTCGATAGTAAGTAATACTTGACGCAACTGATGGGGGGGGGTAAAAGTGTAGAGGGCAAACGGCCCGTTAACAAAACGGAGACGGCGTGTACCGTAGTGTCAAGTATGGTTTGAACATTATCAAATGCTACAGTCAAACTAGAAAGGGATAACTGGAGGTGTGTAATCACAATTAACTCCCGTGCCACCGATGCCTGGAAGGCCGTTACTTTAAACATTAGTGTGCGCACACTTGAGGTTAAGTCACGGGCATGGGAAATAACATGCGACAGCACCTCCGTATTCATCTCTGTTTGAATGCGAGTGTAATCTATGACGGTTAGGGATTCGTCGATTACTGTCAGAATTCGTTCTTGTGTCGTACCCAATGCGGACAACTGGCGTTGCAGTTGCTCAATGTCATTGTCAGTAGCTGTACCAAATAAAAATTTGGCGATTTTACCAAGACCACTAACTATATCGCGTTTCTCTCTTGAATTATGCAATGAGTGCAAGTCTGTCAAACGGAGATTAAGTGATTTTAGACGTTGGCAGAACCACGCCATGTGGGCTTGCATGAGGGATCTGATGTCACGGTTTACAGCCGCGAAGTATTGATCGTCGGGGGAGGGGGATGGGGAGTGCAGTGCTGCTGCTGGCTGTTGTCTATACATCTTGCACACATCTTTGTGCAACGAACGTAGATAAGTGTTGATCGAAGTGAAGTTGAGAGTGAAACCTATGCCCCAGGTGCTCTGTGTGCCCGAGATGTGACCTCTCGGGATAAAGATTACTCCCATCGTGGGTCTTCAGACTTCAGTAGCTTGCGAGGTGGATAGGATCGCCGAGGCAACTATGAGCAGGGCGATGAACATCGTCCTGAAACAGAGGAGTGGCCCATAAAATTAAGGTTGTGTATTCCGCACTTTAGCTCAATCGGCTACTTTGTGCGAGTGGCAACAAATCTTCTGCATCCCAGCTATCAGTGCTTGGCGTGCTAGCCACACTGGCTGGATGCGTGTCGTCGTGGGGGGGGCGACGAAAGAGGCCCAGTATCAACCAGCGTTGCGTGATGCATTGGTCGTCGGGGTGGGCTGTCTCGACCCGTAAGCACGATTCTCGGTTCATCCCATGCCGAGAATGGGTACGCGGGTCGAAGGTTACTCACGTGTACATCGCGAGTACATGTCTGGTCTTGCGCCTTAATGCGAAGTCGCAGTGGAGAGAGTTTCTCGACCACGGTATAATAAGGCTGTCAATTTGAGGCGAATTTCGGCGTCTGATTAGCTGACAATGTGGGATTATAAAAGTAAACGGGGTCCCCAATGTCAAAGGACTGGACCTTTGCAGTCTGTTATAGAGGCGTTTATTACGCGCTCGTGCCACTTTAGTGTTTTGTTGCATCACAACAAATGCCCGGTGCAAGCGTTCAGGAGCGTGTGTTACTGGATCGTCAGCGTATGACAATCGTCGGGGCCGCAGTAGCGTGTCAAGTGGTAGCACTGCGTCTCTACCGTACGTCAGGAAGAAGGGGGTGAATTCTGATGATTCATTGACGGCTGTACGATATGCGAATAAGACCGAGTTGATCTTTGTATCCCAATCTGTATGATCCTAATTAATGTAGCACGCGATCATTTTGGCAAGCGTGTGATGAAAGCGTTCGCATTGTCCGTTGGACTCAGGGTGATAAGGAGAGACTTTAATGTGGGTGATCCCAAGCACCTGTGGTCAGTCGTGTGATAAGCTCGTTAATGAATTCGCCTCCATTATTGGTTAAGATGGACCGAGGGCATGAGTGACGAGGAATGAAATCGTCAACAATGATGCGTGCGACGGTAGCAGCGCTCTTATCTGGAATTGGGTATACTTCAGGCCATGAGGTGTAAAGGTCCAAAAATGTGAGCATGTAACTATTACCTGAGTTTGTGCAGGGGTGTGGACCCGTAACATCAATGGCGACCACATCTCCTGAGTGTCTAGGTGTCGGTGCATGATGTAGGGGGGCACGAG